GAACAGAAGGTGCAGCCCAGAGAGAGCCCTAAGAAGTGGGGGGCAGGCTGTACCAGCCTAGGGGTGAAGGACCCTGAGGTGTATCAGGAGGTGTGGCTGAATGAAGTGGCAGGTGTTCCTCTCAGCCAGAGGCACGCCAGAGGTGAAGACCTTCAAGGGAGGTGTGGGATTCCCTGTGCCCGTCCCTGGGCGACGAGGGGGCCCCTGTGGTCTGTCTTGAATGTGCACTGTTGCGCTCTGGCAGTCCCTGGGCAGTTCTGTCCTCAGATGCTGGGCCTGGCTGGGACCTGGAGGAATGGCTGCCGCCTCTTTGTTGGCTTGTCTGTGCTTCAGCAGGGCAGCTTCTTCTCCCAGCTGTGCCCAGTGGGCGGCCTCTAATATTCATCTCTCATCCTGGAGCCTGGTGGGGGATGTGATTATACACATCCTCCCCTGTGGTTTCCTTCCCGATGACACAGCCCCCTGCCTGGTCACCTTCAGCCTCACAGCCATGGACGGTGTGGCTGGCTCTCCCGCTGCGTCGGCCTCACGCTTGTGCTTGGACAAGCCCCGGCTCCTAGTGTGGAGGGTCAGGCCACCTGTCGCAGAGGCCCCGCGTGCTTGCTCTCTCGGCTGAGCATGTGGCCTGTGTGTGCACCTCTCGCCTGTGTGCTGGAGCTCACACCTGTGTACATCCTGTGTGTGTCTGGTGCAGTCCAGCCTGACTCTCAATGCCATCTCTGTTCTGGGGCTGAGCTTGACTCGGGCCTTGCCTGAGGAGGGCAGGTGCGGGACGTGCCTGCAGTCAGCAGAGGCGCAGCTGTGCCCCGGTGCTTCTGACCGTGCAGGTACCCCCACCGCCCCCACCTACTCTCTGGTAGAAGCAGGCCTATTCGTGTGTCTTCCTTTGCTTCTGCTGAGACTTCCTCTTCTCCTGGCCCGGGCCTGGGCTGTGGCGGTGCCTGTGGGTATACAGGCTTCCCTTGCTCTGGCTGCTGCCTCCTAAGGGCCTGGAAGTCCCACTGGCCTGCTCATTTCTCTGTCGGCCAGGGCCGAGACGGGCTCTGCCATCTCGAAGTGGCCGGAGAGTGCTTGTCCCTGGCTCCTACATGGGCTGCTGGGGCAGCGGGGACCCTGTGTCCACTGCGCACCTCTCAGTGTCAGGATTTCTGGGACCACATGAACTGGGGGTGCTCAGGAGCATTGGTGGTCTGGGCACCAGCTGTCTTGGGGCAGAGGTGAGCTTGAGCTTGACGTTCTCGCTGTCTCTTCAAGTTGTGCCATGGGTGAGGACAAACCAGGGAAGGGAGGTCCTTGGGGCCCTGTCTCCATGCAGAGTCAGCCTGTGCGATGGCCCCTTTGGGCCAACGGCCCTAATCCAGGAATTCCCTTGATTTGGAAGTTGGGGTAGGTAGAGGCCTAGCCGTGTCAGGCTGTGGGGCATTTCCTGGGCTGACGGCCCTTCCTTTACAATGTATTACAGCATCACGTTTTTTTCAAAGTGGAAATAAACTCAGTGGAGTTTGTAGAAGCTCAT